CTACACTCGAATTCATTCAATAACTGGGATGAGAGTAAAAAAAAATCAATGTGTCCTTGTCCTACACAAAACACAAGATATATATTTATATTTTACAAAAAAAAATCTTGTAAAGGGATGAGTTTAATTTTTAAAATGTTAATTAGCAGCCATATAGAATTCACAAATCAATATGTTAAATTGATTGCCATCAATCGTGAAGACAGCAACAATTCAATACTTGTATGTGAATGCCTCTAATTAGTTCTTCTTTTTATTAATTTGTTACTTTATTACATATAAAGAAGAATTTATTGCTCATTGATAAGCTCAAGAAGAGACATCTTTAATTCAATCATCATTTTACTTTCTTCTGTGTGTGTACTGTCTATTTTGTATATTTATTAATACACACAAATGCATGTAGGCCTATATATTTCAGAAATATTAGCTTGTTTATTATACTGAACTGAATATATATTTATTAGGGCTGTCAATAATTAATCGTGATTAATCGCATCCAAAATAAAAGTTTTTGTTTACATGATATATGTGGGTGCACTGTGTATAATTATTTTGTATATATATAAATACACACACATGCATATTTAAGAAAAAAATATTATTTATATATAAAATACTTATATTTATATATATTATAAATTATATATAAATATATATACAGTATATACATGAAATATTTCTTAAATATATACAAGCATGTGTGTGTATTTAAAATAATTATACACAGTGCACCCACATATATTATGTAAACAAAAACTTTTATTTTGGATGCGATTAATCATGATTAATCATTTGACAGCCCTAATATTTATACATAATTTATATTATATATACACAAATAAATATTTTATATATAAATAACACTTTTTTTTAAAATATATCCATGCATGTGTGTGTATTTATATATACAAAATAATTATACACAGTGCACACACAAACATTTATGTAAAAAAAAAACAGCACTATTATAGTTATTTTGTGTTCCCCAGAAGAACAAAATTCATACAGGTTTGGAATGGCATGAGTAAATGATGACAGAAATTACCCTAGCAACCACATAGCAACACCTTGGCAACCAAAGCTCCACGCATATTTTTATCAGAAAATGCAAAGCTTTAGTTTATTTATATAGTATATATTCTAATATTTCATGGTAGACATTCCTTGGACTCTTTCTTGGAGAACTCCCACTCATAAATATATTTTCCCCTTTCTCTCTCTCTCTCTCCCTAAATCGCTGTAACTCCTCCTGTCTCCCACTCTCTTGGCTCCCTGCAGTCATCAACATTTAAATGTGTCCTATTCGCAAATCCCAATGCTCAGAAGCCAACCGCAATGACTTCCCCTTTACAGTTTCCTTCACTTTTATTTTATTCCCATCAAGCATAATTTGAATCATCATATGACTATGTGGGCTAAATTAATATATTCAAAGATCATCCATACTATTTCATCTTGTCTGTTATGCAACTTTGTTAATAGAACATCATTAGGTTAATGCAAGTGAACAACTTTCTCCTGGAAAATGATCAAATGGGTAAAAAAAAAAAATCTGAGCAATATCTAAGGACTGCAGTATCATAGAAACAAGAAATCCATATAATAAGCATCCAGAATGCCAAAGCAATCATCCAGAAAACCCAAGCATCATTATGCCAAGTTTTGCATGGGTAGGTACCATAAAAATGTTGTTTAATTTAGATTTTGGTTTAAAGAGACAAAATGTCAGATTATGCTGACTGAGAGCATCTTCATATTGAGTTGAAATCTAGAGTGACAGATGCATTAACGCTCAAGAGGAAGTGTGAGGAGGAAGAGCATCGACAAACACTATATTAAAGATGCATTCATTTATCTTAACATAAGTTTAAACCTAAAAATATGCACTGCGTGGATGTTTACTAACACAATTTATAAATGTTGCATCTTAAAATAAATGCTTAAACTTTACAGCCGGCTCATTTGGAGCTTGCCAGATTATTTAAAGTCAAACAAAGTAAACTGGAATCTTATGGAAAAGTAAAAATAATGGTGTCGCATATGGAGATTAAGAGTAGCGCTGTAGACAGGTAGTGACTGACATGAAGAGGATGTGGCTTCCGTGGGCAGCAAGAGAGCGTCAGACAGGAAATGGACCAGCACTTCGCGTGTTCAGAAGCCTGCCACCCTGACGACGTCTCTAAGATGGTGCTAATGTTTCAACCTGGGCCGCTTTAAACTAACATCCACCATTCTGATTCAACATCCGGACTGTAGTAACAGTTCATCATCACAGTCTAATGGTGGAGCATGTGCATTTGCAGACGTCTGCTGGATATGTAATTCAATTTAACACGAGTTAAAGCATTTATATTCCGTTTTATATGTCTGCCTTCTCTAAAATATACAGTTGGGACATTTTAGAGTTTGATATTATTTTAAAGCTCAAGATAATGCATTTAAAAAAACATGTAAAAAAGCCCTGATTAACTCATTTCTAGAATGATTAGTGAGCTTGTTCTCTTCTGAGAAATATTTAGATATACCTTTCTATCATAGATTTTCAACTCTAACAACATGCTGTTTACGTGCAAGTCAGTCTTCTCCGTAAGTGAAAGGACCCCTAAGGACCTGAAGTAAACATCACACTTTGCAAAATGATACGGGAACTTATCAGCAAGCTTTCTAGCGGACAAAATAAACAATCTCGTGATATTTATGAGACTTTTCCAATTAACTCAGGCTCACCTTGTATGCTGTGAAGGAAAACCTTTAGTCCTGTCCTGAGCTGCTGGTCCTCAACCCTCTCCAGCTGTTTGAGAAATTTGTTTAGAGTTTTCTGCAAGCTTTCATGTCTTCTCACCTCAGCTCTAATTGCAGTCGAGTTAACAACTTTATTTGTGCTATTCATATTTAGACCAATGTGACTGCTTAGAACGCATTGAGTTTCTCCTGTAACCCATCAGCATTTCCTGCTCGTTCTTTCATGTCAATGTCACGTACAGCAGCAAAAAGTTGTTCAAACTGTAAAGCATGCAACTCAGAGCAGAAGTAGATCTGCTTGCATGAATTTCCTCTGTCTCTCTCTCTCTCTCTCTCTCTCTCTCTCTCTGTTCAATTCACTTCCTGATTTTAAAAAGTGTCACCATCTCATAGGCTGCTCTCTCACAAACAGGATTTTGTGGTAAATTCAAGACAACCATTTAAAAAAAATAGGGTTTCAGAAAGGCAGCCTCAAATGTATTATCAGATTTAGAGCTGGAATGGTAAAACCTCAGCACTGATAATGAGAAATAAATACAGTATGAGGAAATTGGGGCTAGTTGTCACATGCTGTTTTACAGACAAGTGAATTTTTCATAAATGTCACATTTTATGACATTAATACTGGGGGCAAGTGTTTACAGGTTTCTTTATATATATAAAAAGGTAATTTCATACAATTAATTAGGCCTAAATAGAATAAATGTTGTTATCCAAATAATGCTTAGATTTTTTTTTTTTTTTATCGTATTAGGCTTTTTAATATAAGGTTCTCATTAAGTGTCAACAAATTATTTAATGTATGTGCCAAACATAAATTGACATTCAAAAATAAACCTATCCTGAGAGATATTTGCTGAGTTGAAAAGTGTGACAATTAGTCTCAGCCTTTCCGATATTACAGTTCCATAAAATATAAAGATATTTGGCATTTACGGGAATTTGATGCTCGAGGTGAGAATACATACATAAACATAAATGTCGTAGTGTCTTCAGGCCTTCAAGTTCTTAGTGTCTGATGTAGAAAGGGCCTGTCTTTATCATCAGTCCTCAATGCAGCATCCTGTGTCTCGAACGCCCGTGACGATAGAGGGCGGGGCGAAATGTGACGTTGTTTGTTGCTACTCTTCTCAGCCAATGACGCTCAAGCAGCACACACGTGACGCTACAGCGCTGGTTTAAATATCAGTCCACAAGGTTCTGTATTTGGCCTACTATAATAATCATTAAATCAGCGCCCTCTAATTGTTACATCAGAAACAGTAATATTCAGAAGCGTTAACAACAAATTAACGTTAAACATGAAAATGATAACTTTGTGTATAAATACATGAAAATACTTGCCTTTCATGAAGCACGCATTGATAGGAGAGCAATGTAGTATAAAAATCGTCCCTGATCATTCAAGGTTTTCAATTAAATGTATTTTAATGAGTATGTTGGCCCCTCTAGGTTAATTAACTTGGAACTACAGTATGAAAACATGCACGTGATATTTGATATCAATATGATAATTTAGTGGGATGATAATTTCGTGCTTAAAAATTAGAAAATAATAACTTAATTAATATTTTAATTAATATCTGTGATATAAAACATTGCTATTTGCTATTGCTATAGCTATTGCTATATACATTCCATTGCTGACAATGACATTTTAGACACTTCTTTGATTTAAAACGATGTTAAGATTAGAAAGGGAAGAAAGATTTTGAGGTTTTTTTACACTCTGGCTGTTGTTTGTAAAAATAATATAGCAGGTTTTATTTCAGTAAAAAAAAAATATGTTTAAATTGTATCCTTAGGAAATTCCTACAAACAAAGCTAGCACATGAGTGAAAGTTCTGCCGCTAGAGGGTCTGCGGCTCCGGTTGACGTCACCGGCTAGCTCAGCCCAAAGGAACCGATTTCCGCGAATCAGATCTTTTGACAAGTCATTTCAAAGAATCAATTAAAACGACTCAGTGATTCATGTATTTCATGACCCAAATTCGTCATCATCACGTCAGAGACATTCATTCAAAATTTTATTTGAGGTTCAAAGTGCAATTGTGAATTCGTGTGTATTAGTTCATTTTGTTGCAGCCGTGATTCATCTCATGTAAAAAAAGATATTTATTATAACCAAAAAATAATTTGCATTGGCATTAAACAAGATTCATTCAGCCGCTGACTCGCGTTTGGTAACGTTAACGTTACCCCGAATGATTCAGTTCAGTCGGTCTTGTGAACCGGTTTAATTGATTCATCAAAAACATTCGACTGAAATGAACGAATCGGACATCGCTAGTGCTCACCACAAGAGAAGAAGAGCAGTTTTATAGCATACTCACATCAGCGAAAACAACATCAGAAGCACATCATTTCATCTCAACGGTAAATGCCTGAAGATTCAACATGGTTTGCGGAGGATTTACGTGCTCGAAAAACGCCCTCTGTTCCCTAAATGTAGTTTATATGGTGAGTCGCATACACATGAATATAGCTCAGCTAGCCTGTTAGCAACGGCTAATTCTGTAAAAAATACTTCACAATAAGTTCTACATTTATACTGGATATAATGCGTGTTATGGAGTTTTTTCCTTAATATTTACTCTCTTGGTCTCTATTTTTGCTTGGTCGTTGGTGAGGTCTTTTGTTTATTGCTAACAGTAACTTACGTTAGATGAATCAGCTAGCTAACGTCACTTATCGTCATTGGCTGTACTAGTTAAATACAATCTTGTTTTGCTGTTTTATTTATAGAAAACATCGGTTTTATGTGTTAATAAGAATGTTTTCGTAGTTTGCTTTTTCGTAGTATCTCCTTAATGATGTTTCGCCATGCAGTGTTGCATAATCGTCCTTATGTATGTTTGTGTAATCTGTTTTTCATTAACTAGTTTTGTTTACTTTATGGATAAAGTGTATTTTAAGTTATTTGAAATATTTGTGTATTTATGCCTATTTCACGACCGATTAGCCTGATTGCTCTGAAAGACTTTGGTCTGGCAGCTTCATGCATGTAATGTTATCTGTCAAAACTCAAATGTGATTTCAGATGTTGCCGAGCTAACATGCTTTGTGAATATGATGCACACCGTACTGAGTCACTGATCATCACGTATCTATAATGCCTCTGACTCACATGTGATGACAATACTGGGTTAAGATCACAGTCACACTCACACTCATCCAAAAATAAAGGACTTAGTTTGCATTCAGTCAGAGCTGTAAATGATAAGTGCTAAAAGACTCTGGGTGGGGTAGTGTAGTGGTTCAAGATATGTGCTAGTAACCCAAAGGTTAAAACCCTTCAAGGTAAAGACACTTAACCGCAGGTTACTCCACAGGGTTTTTAGGCTTTTAGATATCCTTGTGCTAGGGACCCCCATTCTAAATTTTAAAAGACAGCTATATATTTTCACGTATTAACAACCAATTTATACTGTGAAAAAATATAAACTATAAATTATAAATATATGTAAAATATTATTTGTAACAAGTATTATTATCACATTGTTTTTCTATTCACTATAGTACTGTACTTTTTGATCATTTAGATTTCTTTCTTTAAAGCTGCAGTCCATTTTCCTCTTTGTCGCCATCTCTGTTTGAAATCTGCAATTGCAGACATTCGCGGAATTATCAACTTTACGCGAGTTGTGCCTCGGCACGGCACAGCGCGGATGAATCTAATGTTTTGAGGAGAACATGTGGCTGTCAATCATTCACCGGCCACTGGTATTCACTATCACAGATTCTACTTTTTGGAAGTATGAACAACATAAAAATTTTCACGGGAAAATATAATCTGAACAAGTAAGTAACATTGACTTTTGTTCTGGCCAACTAAGGGGGGGAAAAGCATTGCAGTAAATCGCGCTGATTAAAGGAGTAGTTCACTTTTAAGAAAACTTTTCATATCCATGTCATTCTTTCTTCAGTCGAAAAGAAATTAAGGTTTTTGATGAAAACATCCCAGGATTTTTCTCCATATAATGGACTTCAATGGGAACCAAATGGTTCAAGGTCCAAAAGACAGTTTCAGTGCAAACTGTTCAAAGGGCTTTAAATGATTTCAGACGATGAATAAGGGTCACTGACTAAATCACTGTAAAACCATTAAATCATAAATTAAATATGTAGTTTGCACAGAATCCATCACTCAGACCATTTTATGGTGGATTTGACTTGTTTTGGTTTACAATGTTCTTCATAATGTCATAATTGTACCCCTCGTGCTGGCATTTAAGGAGGGACTGTGTGTGTACACTGTGTACATTGTTCGGCTTTGGGTTTGGCCCGTGATATGCTGCCCATGTGCTGCTGTTTGGTAAATATATTGCTCTCTATACCTGCAATCTTTATCCTGCTGCCCTTTGCTTTGGGTAATATAGATTCCAGACAAACCCTTGAACTGCAGATTGACACTAGTCACAGTTTAGGTTATTGAAAGGAAGTGAAGTAGACGTGACTTGTTTCGTGTTGCTGTCGTAGTAGTTGTAATGAATTGAAACACAATATTAAGTAGTCATCTTGATATATATTTTTTTAACAACTGTAGACATCGCTTCAAGTCAACATTAAATCAACTTTGACCATATTTACTGGTCTTATTGTGAAAGCATTATCGGAGCATTACAGAGGAAACATTTTTTTTTTTTTTTAATCCTTCTCTCCAACTACCTGTCATATGGAGACCACACCCAGATAGCTTTTGGTTAACGTGATAATAATGGTTAGTCCCTACTGGTACACTATCTGTGGACAAAAAGCATATTTTCCATTTATGACCATTCATAAGATGCCATCAGTTCTGGTGTAATTCTATTTTCTTTTAGATGTCTTGCCAGTGTACGATTTTTAACTTTTAACCTACAATTGTAAGTTAAATTAAAAATGTATACAATTTAAAAAAATAAATAAAATAAAAGTTAATTGTAACAGACTTTGTTTCAGATATCTTGCCATTGTACTATTTGTTTTATTATTTTTTAATCAACTTAATGGATGAAAATAAGTCCTCAATTTGATAACATGTCACATTATGGAAGTAAAATGGGTTGTGAATGCCATTTCATGTTGACTTTAAGCGCAATATAGTGTTATTTCAGACATGATGTAAATGGTTTGTACTGTTGTGACATGTTTCTGATAGGTCTCTTGTTTCATCCTCAGCTGGTGGGTCTTCTGTTGATTGTAGTAGCAGCATGGGGGAAAGGCTTTGGCATCGTCTCCAGCATCCACATCATTGGCGGCGTGATTGCCGTGGGCTTCTTTCTGCTTCTGATCTCCATTGTGGGGCTCATTGGAGCCGTCCACCATCACCAAGTCATGCTTTTCTTTGTATCCTTTAACAGCCTTGTACTGCGTGTCTTTTGCAGTTTTATGCCCATAAAAAATGGTGTTATAATTGTAAATATTTTAATAGTTGTCCCATCCGAAAGTTAAGTCCTTGACAACAAATGCTTTTTTACAGTACATGGTTATTCTCTTCATCGTCTTCCTCTTCCAGTTTGGAGTTTCCTGTTCTTGCCTGGCCATGAACCAGGGTCAGCAGGTAGGCCGAATTCATTTTAAAGCACACTTGTTGTTGTTGCACAATTGTTTGTTGAGAAACTGAGTGCCTGTTCCTGTTTTTTGTCATGTCCCATTACCAAAACAGGAGAAGCTGCTGACCTCGTCCTGGAGAATAATGAGTAACGATACAAGAATAAGTCTTGAGAAAAAACTGGACTGCTGTGGCCTGTTCAACAACACTCATCCCCAGACAGATTTTGTGTCTGACTTAAACCTCTGTGAATCTGTAAGAATACCTTCTTTCATGCTTCTTTCTTTTCTTTATCATGCGTCGACTCTTTTGGTGTCTATTAGACAGCCATAAGGTAAAGGCTCCAACTACTGTTTATTTGTTCTAAGATGAACAGTGAATGGACCTGTAGCCTGGATGTCGGATGTTGAGCTAACCAAATGTGAAAAAGGAGAGAGTAACACCCTGCTTTCTTTTCCCGCAGCCGTGTGTAGGAAAGAAATCCTGCCTCACATGCGGTGAAAAGATGCTCCAACATTCATCAGAAGCGCTGAAGATTCTGGGAGGAGTCGGCCTCTTTTTCAGCTTCACAGAGGTCAGTTCAGATCACAGGCTGTGTGGGCCGCATGTGAATGCCACAAAAAAGTCGGAAACTGGTGATCTGGACTTCTTTTTGTCCTGTCTTTCCGAGGTCTGGGCATGTAGTTTGAGAATAAACCTTAAAATAAATAGTTATTGATCATAAATAAGTTGTACACTTACAAACTACATCTGAATTAGATGGGTAAACTACATTTAAAAGTATCAGTTACACATCCTTCATTCTTCATTTTAGTTTATTTTCTATTTTTATTTCAGTTTTAGCAATTTTTCTAGTATTTTAATTGTATCTCAACTTTATTTCAGTAAGTTGCCAAGGTTTTGTTTAAGTTCATATTCATCAGATTTTTTTTAACTAAAACATTATTAAATATTATTTTTTATATTTATTTTTATAACAAACAATTAACAGTTGTTTCTTTAAGTTTAAGTTTTAAGTTAACAATACTAACACACAAACATACACAATATGTTACTGTATGTATGTGTGTATATATATACACATTTAAATAATGTTAGAATATATATATTATTACTGAAAATATATACAGTATATTTATTGAACATTGATCTCCTTTAAAATGTTTCTGATATAGCCTATAAGTAAGTCACTTCCAGTCATGCATTAGTGTTAATTTGCCTGTAATGATAAAATAACTTTATCACATTGACCTTTTCTCATTAATAGCTATATATTATACTCCAGTACTGCATTTATAATATTTTTTCCCCCTTTTTTTCTCAGATCTTAGGAGTTTGGCTGGCCATGCGCTACAGGAACCAAAAGGACCCGAGAGCGAACCCCAGTGCTTTCTTATAGTCTCTCAGACCGTCTGTCCTAAACTACGTTTAGTGTAGTCCAGCTATTCCAGTTCCCGTTTGCACAGGTAGAGTGGAGCGCACCAAGAGATATTTCAAGCATTAAACACAGAACACAACCGCAGATCCCCGACACACGCGATAACGCACCACACTCCACATACAAACACATCCATTTTGATGATAGGTCTGACCCATTTTCCACACAAGGTCTGCAGAGGGCTAATTTAAACCAGCAGGAGGAGGGATCATGTATGATAGGATGCTCGTTCTGGCACTCCCTCCATCCTTGATGTGAGAAGCTCTTCCTGTTCTGTGTATGCAATGTAAAAGCCATCGATGTCTGCATGTTCATAGCCTCAGAATCGTTTCCTGTGACATGGTCAGCTCAATTATGGACACATAACCAGGTGTGTAGTGCTGAAATAGTGTCAGAAAGTTATCCCTTAAACTATATTAATGTTTAGTTTCAGTTAGGGTGAAATTCTGTCGCGTATCTCCCAGGAAAACAACATCGGGTCAGCCTTGAATGAGTGCAGACCTGATAAACACCGGTGTTTTGTGCAATGTTTCTCAGTGAGGTGACCTGTCCAGCCTATGGGGTGTTAGTTTAGGAATTAGACGTAGAACGTGAATATTTAAAAAAATGAAAACTTGTGTAACTGAGCCATGCGAATAGGAGGATTTACCCTGCCGACGGACTGCAGCCTTCCTGTTGTACATAGTCTTTATAGTGACAGGGTCGACCGATTTACCGCTTCTTTTCCATCCTTATTTAAAACACAGAGACCCTACCGCCTCAGCCGGGTCTTGCTATTCTCACTGGACTTTTTAAGTTCTCCATTTCCTTTGAAGCTTAGTATTACTCAAGGATATAATGTTTTAAAATCGAATGCATTGTTTTGTGGATGTTTGTGTTGAAAACTCAGCGTTGCCATTTATTTGCAATCATGTATCGCTTCTTTTCTGCAATTTTTAAAAAACGTACTAACAGCACTAGGTCCGTAATTTTAGCACTGAATAATGTGCCATTTCAATTCAAATCCTTCTTATTTTGTGTCTCTCGGTTTATGTTGCGTTTCTAATTTTTTCTTGTTTTGAGCTCTAAGTGTTAAGTTGCCATTCACTGTGTGCGTTTTTTTGCAATGTTGAACATTGTTATTGTAGTAAATAGATCATTTGTAATAGCTTATGCGCACATGCATATGTTAATTCCATATGTCCAATATGTTCTTGTGTTGATTTGCTTACTCATATTAATAGAGGAACATATTGGCTAATGCTCTTAACCACTTTGGTTTCCACCCCGCATGATCGAGAAATGGGAACACTGAACCATCACTCGGTACAGCTCAAATGTGTTCTGCTTCACTTGGTCATGGTATTATGAGTGTTTCACTGATGGATTTCGAAGAGGTGAAATCAATGTCTGTGCTATAATAGTTATTTATTGCCATTGTGAGAAGGCCACAGTACCCGACTCAGTGAGCTGTAAGCACCCTTTTCCCTGGATTTGCCTTGTATTTTTGAAACTGACTTTTCCAATTAAATATTCTAAGATCAAAACTTGTGCAGTTGTTTTTTTTCTCATGCATTCATCATGAGTTGTTTCTCAACTAGTTTTGCTTCCAAATCCGTGATTTTACATTGACCAATTGGCAACCCAACATAATACCAAACCTTTACTTGTAAGCGAAAAATAGTTTTGCCGTGAGTATATTAAAGCGTTGAATCAACCACAGCTGCCAGTAGTTTACCGTTTTTGTTTTACAGGATTATTTTTTTACAGTTTGACTCATAGATTTTCTTTAATAATGGTTTAAAGACTGAAATTTAAGTATTTTTGTCTTCTACAAAGTGAATTTGAGTTTGATGGGACACATCCTTTAATGTCAACTGCAAAAAAACGTGGGACGTGTTTCTTCTCCATTTGAAAAATTGATATGCTTTTGCATTTATTTGAATTGTACAAGATTAATGTGCATTGTGACATTTTATTATTTGTAATTATTTGTTATTATTTTGTATTATCTCCCCCCAACAAAAAATGGGTTGCAACCTATCAGTTGACAACCACTGGATTAGAATATCAAAGCAAACTGCCATTTGTTGTCATTTACTTGAGCGGGAAAAAACAGCAGGTGTTTACAGTTCATATCAAGTTCATATATGCATTAGAGTTATAGCATTGTATTTCCTCAACTAATAATCCGTTATGACAAAAAAAATACTTTTTTTTCCGTCTCCAGCTCAGTCTGTGAGATCATCACATTGTTTCAATGTTAAGCTGCTTATTTTATTGCAAACAACTTACACTAAGCTGTTATATATAGATTATGCAACTTG